AAAATAGTGCATCTCTCAGCACTTACCAGAGAAGCTTTTTCTTGAGGCGGATGATGATTGGTAGAGGTCTACAACTGCCTAACACGCAGAGAAGAAGACACTACAGAACTCAACCCTAAAGAGGTCACCTGTGTTACACCCTTCCCTCCAAAGGCTCCGGGATCATTATAGAAGAGGGGGTAAAAAGATTTCAAGAGCCAGAGTTGATGGATGAATTCAAAGAAACTATAATTTTCAGACTTATCAGGACAGTTGCACCTATGAACCCACAGTGCTTGTGACAACATATACAAGACCTGCTCGAGCCCATGCCAGACAAAATCCCAGCAAGAAAAGAAGAGGTGGACAAGAAGGCACAGTCTTAGTTGAGGAGACAGTGGCAATTGATAGCTGCCAGGAGAGGAAAGTCAGCTTTCTTTGAGGGTATGATACCGGGTAGGCTGACCAGACTCCATGGGATGGACACAAACCAAGGAGCATTTGGGGACATGGATTAGAATCAACAAGCTTTAATAATAAAGGAAAACAGTAATAGAGGACATGAAGTTGAGGGGAAGGTATAGTAGGGTGTGGGTGGAGATGAGGGATGGGGTCTGAATATGATAAAAGTACGCTGTATGAAGTTCTCAAAGAATCAATAAAAATTATTTTAAATTGAATTTTGTGATTTTCATACAATATAGTTTGTTGATACCTGGGCCCCCTCCCCTCTTTGCATCTCTCTGCACTGCCCCCCACCTAGTTTAATGAACTCTCATATACATAATATGGCCTATAGAGTCCAATTTGTGTCCCCAAATGGCTCTTAGTATGGGTCCATTCACTGGGCCCACCAAGAATCCCATTCACATAAGACACTGTTTTTCTCCATCCTAACAGCCATCAGTTGCCAAAAGTTCCTTAGGCTGGGGTGGGATTTCTTACCACCTTCCTCAAGTCTACGCTGGAATCTTGTCTGATTGGAGCTTGCATAGGACTTGTGCATGCCGTCACCATTGTGAATTCATATGAGTAACTAACTGATCTGTCTGGAAGACTCTGCTTCCTTGTGGCCATCCACCCCCTCTGACTCTTACAGTCTTTCTGCCTCCTCTTCTGCAACGATCCCTGAGCCTTGGGAGGCAGAGGTTTGAAATAGATGTCTTATTCAGGGATAAGCCCTCCATGGTCTCTTGCTGTCTGCATATTGGCTAGTTGTGTGTTTCTGTGTTAATCACCATCTGTTGCATAAAGGAACTTCCCTGGTGAGAATTAAGAGATTCATTCATCCTAAATGTAGAGGTTGCATTGATAAAGCCACATTTAAATACTTACGGGATTATTTAAAAAATAATTGAGGGGAAAAGAGTACCTAAGGAAGGCTATTGCTTGAAGGTGCTCACTGTACTCCTAATCTCGGCTGAATCTAAAGCCCTAGCTTCGGGGATGAAATATTGAAGTCATAAAATCGCACCATTCTATATTCTTACATTATGCTTCTGAGTTCAGTGAAAGTTCATGCAGACAAAAAGTGTATCAAAAGTACATATGTGAGTGCTAATAGCCACTGGGAGGAAATGACTTTCACACTTATAGTCAAACCTGTCAGATGTGTTTAGATGATTTTGTCAGCATGGATATGTCATTTTCATGCTGCAGAGCACACATCCAGGTTGTTTCAATGTAACGTCTTCATCCCTTTCGACACTTGGAACCCTAACTCAATTTTGCTCCTATAGCTGCTTTAGCGTTAAAAGTATGCCCACAAATCTACAACTAAACCCTGAGATGATTTCATTGATGATATTTTACCGATGCATGTCTTCTGCTCAAAGGAGAACAGACAACATAATTGTGTTTGATCTGAAAATGAAACTAATTTCCCTAGTATTGATCACAGGTTTTGTTCTTAGATCAATTCATTAGGCCCCTGCTTCTGAGAAGTACTCCAGTGACACACTTAGGACTTGGTAGTCCACCTTTAATAAACAAAATATGTATTAGTATGTTTTTGCAAATGCAAATGGCTTCAGGGCCAGGTAAGGTAACAATAATTGTGTGAGCTAGGCTATGTGTACAACATCAGGCAGTAGCAAGTCCTGAGGTGAGGTGGAACACGATATTGGACCATAAAGGTATACAGATTCTTTAATATATAACACAGGCCAAACAAAAGGCACGTGGATTCTATTTCCAACTTCTGACCTCCCAGGCAAAATATTTTAGTAGGTCTAGTTTCTTCTTATGAATTGTAAAATCTAGAACAGTAAATTTTGAGTTCTGATCCATAGTGGTATGTCCAGCTGCCCAAGGTCTTGAAAGTGGTGTCTGTTCTCACCGGTTGATGCCCCAACCAGCCTGAATCCCAGTGTTTACTAATGAAACGGTTTTGGGATTTAATGTCTTTATAAGTCTTTTGGGTAGTAAGGGATGCCAGACCTGGAGCTTGAAATGGAAATTTCACCTACTTTCTCCTTTGCTCCACTATTTGTAGAGTAGTGCTGTCTCTTTAATTGTCACTCTATCTTAGTCTAACCTCAAGATAGCCTGTGATTACTCGTGTAAAACAATGATTTGTGGGAACCGAGGACTAGGAATTTGAAGTCCTGGGTCTGCCACTGGTAATCGAGTGGCCAAAAGTCAAACAGCTCACCTGTGGATAATCGAGCTGTCAGAGGCAGCACTAGGTCTCCTGGGACCTAGTTCAAAGTACGTTCAAAGCCCTTGCCTTTGTAGCAAAGTCCAAATTGTTTTTCTTTAAACCTAGTGTCATAATTTAGATCCATTTCATCACAGATCCTTTTAGTCCTTGAATCTAGCATGCAACAAGAGGTCTGAAAAAATGTCTTGTTTTCCAAACTTTTCTTCTCTGTAGGTCGGGTGTAAACCTGAGCACAGGCCTCACTCTGCTTAACTTTGTGATGTCATGAGTTGTGAACCTACAGTTGGCATAGCTGTCAATGCATTTCTTCACTCCGACATTGTAATAAACTGTTCTTCATTACAAAGCCTGGGAGGCACAGACATTCTTCCGTTTTGGCATTTGTTATTTGTATTCTGTGGTTCAACATCGTGCGTTGCGCCTGCAAAATGTACAGTTCACGTTCATGAAAAGGTAGTAGGTGTAACTTTCCACCCCTACTAAATGGCTTTTGCAAAAACCAGCTGGTGTTTGAAGAGCTAAGTTCCAGGAAGGAAAAGAAATGATTGACAGTGTGAGCGCCCAGTCTGGCAGGAAGTAATGGCTCGGGAGGAGAGAGCATCTGGAATTTAAGCAGAGCAGAAAAAATCCATCCCTTTTCTGCCTGGAAAAAGGGCTTATGTCAGATGTTAGGAAGACATGGGGGAAAATCCTGAGTAAATAGAATCTCAGCCAGTGTGTTCATGAACTTCACCCTTCTTTGGAATGTTTTTATTCCCTGGGGGAAAACAGAGTTTGAGTCATTTACACAGCAGAGAACTCTCCTAAAGAGAGCCTCAGGAGGTGTGTTCCCCCGGTGCCCTCTTAAAGTTCAGCATATGCAATCTACAGCACTGTCAGAGAAATGCTCATTTACAATTTCATTTCTCCCTTGTGGTCTTCATCATAACACTAAACTTTCAAACCATGGAAAGTTTCCGGACATGGTATCTACTGTTGAGTCTGATCCTCCCACTTGAACCAATAATTCTTCAGTAATTCTCCATGTCTCTCCCCACTGTTAACTCCTGTGTTTCACACGCCGTCCTCTGACTTTGTAAATCTTTTTCTTTGGTTCTACAAACTGCTTTCTGAATGTCTGATATCATCCTTGGAGCCAAGGACACATGACTGGGTTCTCAAGTGCAGGCGTGATTTTGGTTCTGAACAGCAGAAGGAGATGTTGAGCCAGAAGATAAGGCAGTCTGTGGTGGGTTCTGGGTTTTATGATTAGCTGAAGACTGAACTGCTTGCCTTCATATGATTATCTTTCTCCTCTGTCAGAGAGGCTTCGACATAAACCCATTTTAATAAGTGTTTTCCACATAGATGAATCAGTCCATTTTGCTGTTAAATTAAAGCATCTATTATCTATCTCTCACTTCCCGTTTTCTTTGGGGCATTCATTTCATACATGTAGTTGTATAGTCAAGTGCAGGTGGCTGGCTTGGGTACCCAACTACAGAGGACATCTACTAGTAAGTCTGTAGTTGAAACCACTGTCATTGTGTCAGTGGTACTGTTCATTGTAACCCTGTCACCCAGGGGTCCTTAGAGAGGGAGTTTCCCTTCCTTTAAAGACATCACATTTGCAGTTTAAGAGGGCAGTAAAAGCCACTTCTAAGGATGCTGTGTCACCATATAACCTTCCTCTTATATGGGACAGGTGGATGGGATATAGGCAGAACTCTTATGTGGTTACTGCAAGTTAGACCTAGAACATCGGAAGGTGTTTCTGTTTACAACAACCCTCTACATTTGCTGTCTGCTGCTCCTTTCTTAAAGATTACTTTTATCATTTAAGCTGACAAGTAAAAATTTTACTTAAAATATTCTATCATTTTGTAATAATAAATGGCATCATGTGTTTATCAAAAAATTTTAAAATGTGCTTCTCAGAGGACTACCATTTTCAGGAAAATTATGTAACATTGTATGTCAAGTTGATAAACACACACATACATGCATACGGGGACGAGAAAGGTTGAGGCACTCAGAAACTGACAAGAAGATTTCACCCATTGTCTTTAGTTTATTGTTTTCCATATGTGACACATTGTATGCCAGAAAACGGTTCTTTGACCCTTAACACCTAAACCAACTTTTAGGTAAAATAAAATGTTTGAGATGATTCTGTTTTCATTGTGTTTACCTCCTTCTTTCCTGGAGCTCTGACGTACGTTGTGGTCTTCCCTTCAGCTTGCTTGCTGGAACTGACTGTTGGGCCTTGCTGGTCTGAGTAGTGAGGGAGTGCATTTACCTCTAGGCTAGTATCTTGTTACAATTATAGATATGCTCTGTGTGCTTTGCTATGATTTTTTTAATTTCCCTATTCTTTAAGGAAAGCAAAGGAAAATTTGTTTGGACAAAACAATTTTTCCAATGGACATGTAGTTTATGAAAAAAAACGGCAACTGGAGTCGGACTGTGGTGCAGAAGACACTGTAACAGGAGAATATGCCTTAGTCATAAATGGCCACAGTTTGGTGAGTTTGCTTCAGGCTTTTGTCCTGTCCTTTTCTTTACCCCAATCATCATCTCCTTTGTGCTGTCATAATGAGAACTCTGTTTGTGTTTTTTCAAACAAATGACATTACAAGAACTAGGGCATGCACAAGGCTTCCTGTTTACAGGGAGAGGAAGCGTCTAATATATAGTTCATACATTGTCTTTTGAATGATCACAGTGAATGGGCAGCTCTGAAGAAATACCCTGATATTCACAGAGTTTCAGTTTTGTCTAAATGGTCATTTAGCAGGATTATTTAAGTACTTTTCTAAGGGAGAAAGTCAGAGTTCAGTGTTATTTAATTAAAATAACGCAACTGGATGGATGGATTTCCGCTATTGCTCTTGCTAATGTTTGTGATTTGCAAGGCATAACCTGACCTTCGTATAACTACCATGCCAAATTATTGCTGTTAAGATACCTCTGGTGGTTTTTCTAAATAGCTGCATTTTACAGCAATGCCAAACAATTTGCTTTGATTAGGAAATCTGGTTCTTGTCATAATAGAATAAACTTGCATTGTACTTTTAATGTAGTTCAGGTTCCAAGTCTTGAACAAGGCTCAAATCATTCCTCTGGGTTTCCAATTTAGAATACAAAAACCCCAACTGCACTCTCGTGAAATTATCATTTATATGTACAAAGAGCTAATCTCACATCTTTCTTTGGCTTTGATGATCATTTTTCACTTTAGAGTTTGGAACATGAATGCTTCTGCTGGTAGACAGTTTCTTAGAGGACGAAAGAAGTTGGTTAAGAGTGTATTGGATTTTCCCCCTTGTGATCCTCTGCGCTTAGGGCATTATCCAGCTGAATTCCAGAAGTAATGTCGTGCTGCCTTCCACACCACGGAAAGTTACAGAGCTCAACTGCAGGCCAAGCTCAGTCGATAATTTGTCCCCATGACATGACCTTTTCCCTTGCGCAGACGAACACCTACTGAAAGTGATGTCTGTCAGCTGGGGCCTTGAGCTGAGTTTCCCAGGTAGCACAATATGGACAGTGGGCTATGCTTTGACTGCCTCTCAGGCTTGAGGAAGCCAACATGTGGTAGCAAGCTCAGGTGATAATCCCTTCCCACAGCCTATCCTTTTGTCTCTCCTCTGTTGAAAGAAAGAGCTTTGAAGCCTCATCAAACCGTGAACCCACACTTCTCCTTTAAGAATTGACTATATTTTTGTTAGTATGGTCAGAAGGTTTTGTTTATTTGTTTTACTTTTCAAATCACGTTTCCAATTTGCTCAAACCATGGTGCTTTGCCGAAAGTAATCGGGCCTCTCTCAAAGTCTGAGTTTACATTTTCATTTGTTGATAATAAAGAAAAAAGAATGGCGAGGAAAGGGCACTGCTCTGAATATATACTTTGTCTTTAAGCCGGGTGTGGTGGCGCATGCCTTTAATCCCAGCACTCTGCAGGCAGAGGCAGGTGGATCCTTGTGAGTTCAAGCTTGTCTCAAAAAGACAAAAAAAAAGGGGGGGGGGGTATTTGAGAAAGATGGCCATAGGCATCATAGAGCTAGATATGAGAGTTTCCTGCACCAGAGTTACTTCTTCATGCCCGACCACTCACCCATCCACTCTGCCATTATTATATGAGTTCAAGTCAGCTGGGACTACAGGGAGACCCTGTCTCAAAAAGACAAAAGAAAAGGGGGGGGGTATTTGAGAAAGATGGCCATAGGCATCATAGAGCTAGATATAGAGTTTCCTGCACCAGAGTTACTTCTTCGTGCCCGACCACTCACCCATCCACTCTGCCATTATTATGGATTGGATATACCCAGGTAACTGTGCTAAGTCCAAGAACTGACTTGAGTGGCACACAGCCCTTGTTTGGGGGTGGCTGTGCATTGCTGACAGTGGTGTGGACTATACAAGAAGAATCAACACAGTGCTGTTGGAGATAGAGGCAGATGTAATTAGTTTCTTATGGAAAAATTGGGGAAGACTTTCTAGAAATGATGTCATTAAATAAAAATGATATAAAAATGATAGCGAGTACAAAGGCATAAAGGCAGGCTGGGATACAAGTGATGTGGCATGATGGGACAAAAAAGCAGACTTAAAAGTGAGGCCAGAAGAAAACTTCAAAAAGTTTGTGGGCCGAACAGTAATGGGCTGTGAATGTTCTGCTGAAGATTCATTCAAAGATACCTGTTACTCAAAAGTGGATTCTTGTTTCCTTTAAACATGCCTATTAAAGAATGTTCAGTGAAATTCTAGATTTATAGTCTAGAAAAAGAGTTCCTGGGTTAATTGGAAGGATTGCGCTAGCAGTAGAGGCTCTTGGTATTTGGGACAAGGTTGGACATGGTTGGGGAGCCTGGTTGGAGGCACAGCTGCCTCTATTGCTCAAGTTTCTGGTCTCAGCCAGTTTCCAGATTCTCTCCCTTTCATCTTGCCTGCACACCCACAACAAACACTAACTGTACGAAACAATGCAGAGCAGACCAACAGGACAACAGGCAAACTGTAATTCTACAGCTGGTGAGGGGGTGGGTGGATTTTTTTCTACTTTTTCTGCTGATTTTAGTAGTCCCTAGAACTTAACATTTGTTATAACTGTCTCTTGCCAATATGGCAATGTAAAGTGTCAAGGAGAACACACAGAGCAAGCCTCTGTACTTTGAAATTCCTTGGCACTTACCTGGGGGGTCAACACTCATGTCTTTACTTTTGTTGTTGTTGCTTTTGTGACTCTGAATTGACAAGGTAATGAAACGGTTCTGAAAATAAGTCAGTTAAAAAGCGTTTGCTTCCTTATGTTACAATTGTCATTTATTGTTGTTGTTCTTTTTGGGTTTTTTTTTTTTTTTAATAACACAGGCCCATGCTCTAGAAAGCGATGTCAAGAATGACTTCTTAGAGCTTGCCTGCATGTGTAAGACTGTAGTTTGCTGCAGAGTCACCCCACTCCAGAAAGCCCAAGTAGTGGAGCTGGTGAAAATGCACAGAAATGCCGTGACTTTGGCCATCGGTGATGGAGCCAATGATGTCAGCATGATTAAAAGTAAGAGGATGCTTTCTCAACGAGGCATACGACACACATGGAGCCCTGTTTCCACATATGGAAATATGTAATAGACATTTACATTAAAATTTAATTTTACCACGGTCCCCACATAAATGATACTTGCTGGGCCCAGTGCTTCCACAATTATTAACATTCCTGCGATGTTTTTCTTCTGTTAAATCATTTGCATATTTTTAGGCTAGAAAATTCTATTGGTTACCTTAGACTGTTTGAGGACAGAAATAGAAACCAGTCAGTGCAGGTGAAGTGAGGCCAGGCTGCATTTGAAGCAGGTGGGTTGACCCCGTCTTTCCCACTCACAAGTGTGAAGTACGCATTACTGAAGTTTTCCCAGCTCCGTTTTCTCTTCTGCAAACCTGGGTCAAATAACCTAGCTATTGTGAATATTCATGATATATGCAAAAATTAACAATGATCAGAAATAAAAGGTTGCAGTGAATGTAAGAACTATGAGTTCTTTGAAGATGCTCTACTGTGGGGAATGAAAGTTTGTCTTTTCCTTTGCAGGTGCTCACATTGGTGTGGGCATCAGTGGCCAGGAAGGACTTCAAGCAGTCTTAGTCAGTGACTACTCATTTGCTCAGTTTAGATATCTCCGAAGACTTCTCCTTGTCCATGGAAGGTGGTCCTATTTCAGAATGTGCAAGTTTTTATGCTATTTCTTCTACAAGAACTTTGCATTTACACTTGTGCATTTCTGGTTTGGTTTCTTCTGTGGTTTCTCAGCCCAGGTAAGGTAAGTGCACCCATGTTGTGCAATGCCCGTGGAGGTCAGAAAAGGCTGTTGGATCCCCTGAGACTGAAGTTACGGACAGTTGTTAGCTGCTGTGTGGGTGCTGGGATTCGAACCTGGGTCTTCTGCAAGAACAACCAGTGCTCTTAACCACTGAACCATCTCTCCAGCCCCAGGAAGAACATTTTTATATGACCCAGGGACAGAATCATTAGGTACTTGATAGTTGATTGGAACTTCACATGCATATGTTTTACTGGAGCTTTTCTTATTTACGTATTAATGATTACTTCTCATGTACTTTTTAGCTTTTATTGAAATGTTTTGGTATAATAGCAGGTAATCTTAATGAAAAATGTTTTTTAATGTATTACTCTTATTGTTTGAAATTTTCATACATGGATGGAATATATTTTGATAATATTCACAGCTACTCCTTCCCTTAGTTCTCCAAGATCCACCCCCATCTCCCCACCCCTCCCAACTTCGTGTTCCCTTTTCATTTTAATCTACCAAGTTCAAACTCTGTGCCCCATAAACTCACTGGTATGGGGCCATCCATTAATACATGGTTGACCTATCTGGGGCTATACCCCCCCCAAAAACCCCCAAGTCTCCTGCCCCCAGAAGCCATCAGCTGATAAAAGCTCATCAGCCAAAGTGGGGGCTCATGGGTCCCTTCCCTCTCTGAGAAGGAGCGTGACTAGCTTGATCTTGTGCAGTTCTTATACAGGTCTCGCTCAGACAACCATAGCTGCTGTGAGTACATGGGTACAGTGGTTCTGTCGTGTCCAGAAGACTTCCCCCCAACTCCTGGCTCTTGTAAACTTTCCATTACTTCTTACTTGGTGGTCCTTGAGCCTTGGGGAAAGGGCATGAAATATAGATATCCTATTCATGGCTGAGCACTCCAGAGCCATTTATTCTCTGCACTTTGACCAGTTATGAGTTTCTCATTAGCCATCATCCATTGCATGAAGAAACTTTTCTGATGAGGTCTGAGGGCTTCACCAATTGATGGGTGTAGAGATAGGAATTTAGAGGGCAGTTTGATACTAAGTCCATTTAGCAGAATAATAGTAGTAAGTTTACCCCTGGGTCTTTGAGCTCCTCAGCTATGGATTCTTGAATATTTACAGTACCAGGCGTGTGTTTCCTTCTGTGGAGTGGGTCTTGAACCCAATCAAAAAGCATTTAGTTATTCTCATAACATTTGTGCCACCATTGCACACATAACCATCTCTTGCCAGTCTGCCATCATAGCTCTCGGTGTTCACACTGAGTAAGGCTCTTGATGATTTTTCTCTCAGCAGCCCACATAACACCTCTGGTACTATGAAAGCTAACCAGTATGGAGGAAGCTTCCTGATCACCACAACTTGACTTCTCCATGTCCTGTGACAGAAATGTGTTGTGTGTTGAACAATAGGGTCTTACCGTTAAGTTCTGATGGGAAACCGAGAGTGAAGGCACTAGCCTGCATTATTTTGGAGGTCTTCCGTGGGATACCCCTGACCAACAACTCAATCCCTGACACTGGGATTTTTATTTGGTAATCTATGGCTTCTGGGAGAAGCAAAATCCATTGTGTAGGGTAACTCCAACTAAACTCATGCATATGCATATGTGAATTATAAAACAGCAGGTATCCATATAGCTTTTCAAAGATCCTTAGAGTTAATTATCCTCCTGAGCCCACTCCTATGGGCTTCCCTTCCACTCATCCCCCTCTTTATTTAACCTTTGTCCTCATTATTCCTATTTTCCCTTCACAAAATATTTTTTTAGGCTATTGTGAATGGGATTGTTTCTCTGTTTCCTTTCTTAATATGCTTTTCATTCGTACATTAAGCCATTGATTTTTGTGTGTTAATTTGTATCTTGCCCCTTTGCCAAAAGTGTTTATCAAGTTTAAGAGTTTTTGTGGAGTCTTTAGGGTCTCTTATGTATAAAATCATATCATCTGGAAATAAGGATGCTTTGACTTCTTCCTTTCCCATTGTATCCATTTTATTTCCTCTCTTGTTTGATTGCTGTAGTTAAGCCTTCAAGCATTGTGTTAAATAGGAGTGGAGAGAGGGTGCACCCTCGTTTAGTTCTTGATTTTAGAGAAAATGATTTGAGTTTTTCTCTATTTAGCATGATGGCTGTAGGTCTCATATGCAGCTTGTATTATGATGCAAAATACTCCCTCTGTTCCTAGTGTCCTCAAAATTTTTATCAAGAAAGGATTTGGGAGTTTCTCAAAGGCTTTTTCTGCATCTGCTGGAGGATTTCTGTCCTTGAGTTCATTTATGAGACTTATTACATTTATTGATTTGCATTTGTAGAATAATTTCTGCATCTCTGGAATGAAGCCAACTTGATTTTTGATACGCTGTTAAGTTCTGTTTGCAGCTATTTTATTGAGCCCTTTTGTGTCCATGTTCATCAATAAGGTGGGTCTGTAATTTTCTTTTGTTTCTTGTCTGTTTTAGTATCAGGATAATACTAGCTTTGTAAAATGAGTTTTGAATTATTCCTTTTCTACCTATGTGATGAATTGAGAAGGCTTTGTGTTAAGTCTTATTTAAAGACCTGGTAGAATTCTGCAGTGAATCTCTCTGGCCCTGGAAGTTTTTTAGTTGAGAGATTTTTAATTACTGCTTTAATCTTATTGCTTGTTATAGATATGTTTAAATTATTTATCTCATCTTAGTTTAACTTTGGTAGGTCTTACATGTCTAGAAATATATCTTTACAGGCCCTTCTAGCTCTTAAAATTTTGGGTGAGAGATCACCTATTATCCTGATGGGCTTGCCTTTATATGTGACACGGTGTTTGTTTCTTGAGACTCTCAACATACTTTCTTTGTTCTGTATATTTAGTGTTTTAACTGTAGTATAATTTGGGGATTTCTTCTCTGGTCCTGTCTGTGTTTCTGAATGCCTCTTGTGCTTGGATGGATCCCTTAATTTCAGGAAATTTCTTTTCTATGCCTTTGTTTTGGGGTTTTCTTCCACCATGACCATAATTTGTAGATTTTGTCTTCCCATGGTTCCCCAAAGATCTTGCATGTTCTGTGTTTATGTTTTCACAATGTATCGTCCTTCCCTGAGGTACCAATTCCTCTGCCTTCTCTTCAAACGCGTTCCATGGTGTCTTCCCCATGCTTCATTCTATTGGAGAGGCCTTCCTCTGAGCTTTTTATTTGACTTGTTGAAATTTTCATTTCTAGCATCACTTCAGTTTGGTTTTTCTTCAGTATATCTCTGAAATTCCATGTTCGTGGAGGTCAGATGTATGGTGGACCAGCAGCTGCCTGGTTGGGAGGGGAAGGAAGCTTTAGAGAAGAAGCAAAGTAACCCAAAATGTTGGGGCAGCCCAGAGTGTTAGGGAAAGCATGCATAGAAAGGGAATAGAAGGAAGAAAAGGAGAGGTTATGCTCCTTTGGAGAGTTCAAAAAAGTGGGCAGACTCCCAGAAAGAACCACTCCATGGGGTGGGGCCTCCAGGCAGGACAAATTCCACATATAATTAATGTACTAAGTATTCTACCTATCTCTTTAACATAACTCCCCTCCTAGGGGTAGTCCTGTAAAGAGGTGATTGACCCAGCAAAACTGGATTGTCATGTCTCCACTGGGCCAGAGACCAGCACTCTCCTGACCAGTGTCCTCCCAAGGGGCCCTTCTTTCTCCTATACACTCTAATTAGCACCCTCTTTCAGGAAAGCACTCTTTACCACTTCTTGTAAAGCAAATTTAATGGTGATAATCTTTTTCAGCTTTTGTTTGTCTAGGAAGGTCTTTTTTAATCTTGAGAAAAATTTTTATTGAATCTTTGAGACTGTCCTACGATATATTTTTATCATATTTAGACCTCTTCTTCTATCTGCACTCCTGCCAGACTTGATGTACTCTGTCGTATATATGAAGGTCTATAAATTTGTGTTCCCCAAATGTCCTTTGGTGTGGGTCCCTCCACTGGAGCCTGGTTAGCCTATTTAGCATGGCATCACACCCTTAAAAGAAACGAACTCTCTGTCTCCCAGCTGTTATTATCGGTCGCCAATAGTTCCTCAGCTAAAGTTGGGGTTTCTTCCCCACTTCTATGCTGGGGTTTTGTCTGGCTTGGGCTGCATGGGCCTTGTGTATGCTGTTACCATTGCTGTCCACCTTTGACTCTCCTTTTCCGCAATGGACCCTGAGCCTCGGGTGGCAGAGATTTGATATAGGCGTCTTATTCATGAATAAGCTCTCAGCAGTCTCTTTTTCTCTGCACTTTGTCCAGTTGTGGCTTTCTAAGTTAATTGCCATCCGTTGCATGAGGGTGGTTTGCTGGTGAGAGTTGAGCGATAGGTTAGCATTCTTTCTGCCCCCTTTTGTCTGGGAAAGTCTTTATCACGTCTTCATTTGTGAAAGACAAGGGTGTTTAGTGTGGTATTCTTGTTTGGTAAGTTTTTTTTTTCTTTCTGGATTTTAATATATTATTTCACTCTTTCTGGCCTGCAAAATTTCTGCAGAGGAATCCGCTAATAGTCTAATGGGGCTTTGTTATCTGTGACTGTTTGCCTTCCCCCAGCTGATTTCCATACTCTTTGTCTTCACATTTTCCCCCTTGCTTTTGTTGCTGTTGATGTTTTTCAAAACTCAGGACCTCATGAATGCTAAGCATGTGCTCTTTACTGGGGCAACCCTCCCCCCATGTGTAAATTTAACAATTTGATTGTGACAGTGTTGAGTGAGTCTCATTTATCTTCTTTGATGTCTTGGTATTCTTGGATCTGGCTTTCTGTCTCCTCAGGCATAGGAAGTTCTTTGTTACTGTCTGCTTGTATTAGCTCTCTGTGCCTTTTTCTTCGCGTACATTAATAACACCAACTATTCTGCTTGATGCTGCTGCATGTTTCAAGTTGTCTCCATTCTTGTTCCTTGTGTTTTTTTCTTGCTTCTCAGACTGGATAGCTTTTCCCCTCCAGCAGCCTGCCATGGCACCTGCCGGTTCTATGACAGCCAG